GATAAGATAAGATAAGACTCCCTACTAATCCATACTACTGAACTGATAAGATAAGAACACTAAATAGATAAGACTCCTACTAATCCCTGCTACTGAAAGCAGATAAGGTAAGAATACTGAATAGATAAGATAGGATGAGAACACTAAATTGCTGCTGCTGAGAACACTAAATTACTGCTGCTGCTGAGAACACTAAATTACTGTTGCTGCTGCCGGCGCCCACATCAGAACCCTCTAAACTAGACAGGAGAGTTTGGTTACCAAATCCTAAAGGTTTCTTCTGTTGTGCTTCTTTCTTTAAAGCTCTTTGCCAGTCCTCTTCCTCTCCATTGTTTCCTTGGAAGGAAGTTTGGTTTCAGCCAATCCCCCCGAAAATCAAGGCTTTCTGTTGGGAAGTGGTATATGGGAAAATTAACACTTTGGACTATTTGCAAAAGAAGAGGCCTTTTTTGAGTATTTCCCCGAATTGGTGCACTCTGCATCAGTCTGATGGTGAATCTTGTTTTCATTTATTTATTTCCTGTTCTTTAAATGTAGAAATTTGGTGTGGAATTTCTCTTTATTTGGGTGCAGGTGGAATATGCCATTGGAGATTAAACTGCTATTTGATCCATCTACATTTACTTGGTCAAAGAAAGGGGAAGAACGATGTGGAGATGTGCTAGAGCAGCAGTGGTTTGGACTTTGTGGGAAGGAAGAAATGCCAGAACCTTCCAAGAGAAGGAGAGAAGCAAGCAGCAAATTATGGATTGTGTTTTGGCTAGAACTATACATTGGCTACAAACTGTGGAACTGTTTAAAAGTTTCTCCTATGATGAAACTATGGATTCTAGTTCAATACAAAAGGCTAAAACACGACTGATTTGGACACCACCCATGGAAGGCTTCATGAAACTAAAGTTTGATGGGAGTAGTCGAGGCAACCCAGGACTATCTGGGATTGGAGGAACTATCAGAGACAAGGATGGGAATCTGAGAGCACTCTACTCAAGACCAATGGGGAATGGGGACTCTTTAAGGGCTGAACTGTATGCAGTCCTACAAGGTGTACAGATTGCAAGAGATAGGGGTGGAGTGCTTGGTGATAGAAGGGGACTCCAAGGTGGAGGTGGGTTGGCTTAGAGATACAGATTCAGTGATATGGTGCTACAAAAATGAATTGAAGAAATTCAAGTGGGCAACACAACATATGAATTTAATCATACAATGGGTGGAGAGGGAGGCTAATTCATTTGTTGATTTCTTAGCCAAACAAGGAGTAACTAGGGTTCAGTTGTATTGGGACCAATTGTGATTTTTGTGCTGTTTCTTTTCTTTTAAAGGGTGAGGCTGCACCTCGCGCCTCCCGTTGGGATGCTTGTAACAGTTTATTTTGTTGATAATGAATTCTTAATGAAATTTTATTTATCAAAAAAAAGAAGGTAGGAATGCTACTATGTTGAATAACACACTACTTTTTGGTTGAAATGTATGATGTATCACACAGTACATGTTAAAAAACCACTAACGGTTGAATTAAAAAACAAATAAAAAATCCTCAAAAGGAACTTGTCCAGAAATTGGAGCTTGCTTGATAAGCTAAGTCACTAGGCCTTGCATGATCTGGGTTTGAGAGCAAGTATAATGCTTTAGTACTAAAGGGCTGTTTGATAATAGTTGAATTGACTGAAGTGAATGACTTATTGCTTTGTATTTTGCTGGACAAAATAGTCATATAAATAAAATATTAGGGTATAGTGATCAACCCAACATGCAATTCAGTGGTTGAGCTTACAACCTACTTGATGACTTAATAAAAGACAAAACAATGTCATTCAGTTCAGCCACCTTCGCCATTATCAAACAGCCCCTAGCACATGTACCACAATGCATCTAAAGAAATCACAAAGGACCAAAAATTGAGCCAAAGAGACAATGTTGATGTGCCTAAAAGCATTGAATGGGAATAGAAGACCAAATCTACCTTCACCAATTAATGTAAGGGTGCTAAAAGAGCTAAGGAAGGCCTAAAAGGGCACAGTATAAGGTGGTAAAAATGACCTGAAGACCCAGAATTTAATGCTGGATGTGGCCCTTAACAAAGCAGAATGGTAATAGTATCCAAGATGCATCTAAAGCAGTGTTTTAAAAGGCGTACGCCTGGAGGCGCGCCTCCAAGCGAGGCACTCCCAAAACGCCCTAAGGCGTATGCCAGCAGCGCTGACACCTCTGAGGTGTATGCCTCTTGCGCTTTTTTCATGAGGCGTGCTAGAGGCGTACGCCTCATGCACATCTGATATAAAAAGACAGAAAAAAAAAAGAAAAAAGAAAACAAAAGGAAAGGAAAAGAAAGGGAAGGGAAAGAAAAGGAAAGATAAGAAAAAAAGAAAAAAGGAAAGGGAAGGGAAGGGAAGAAAAGGGAAGAAAAGATAAGGGGAAAGAAAGTGGTTTGCCCCTTTCCCCTTCGGCTGGGGGGGCGAGCTGCCCCCTTTTCGGTGCAGCCCAATTTTTTTTTTTTTTTGAGTTAGGGGGGTCTTACTCCGCTTCGACAAGACCCCCCCCCCTTTGAACTAATGTTATGCATCTTTATTCTTCTTAATATAAAAGACTTTTATTAAAAATAAAGAAAAAATGAGATCCCCCTTCCTCTTCATCCTCCTCCTAACCCCCCTCCTCTTAAGGAGCCTTGTGTTCGGGAGGCTTACGCCTCACGCCTCTAGGTAGTGGAACGCCTCGCATCACGCCTCCACGTTTTAAAACATTGATCTAAAGATACCTATTAAAATGACCAAAAAATTGAGGCAAGGTAACATTATTGATGAAATTAAAAGCATTGAATGTTCCTAAATAACAACCTCCACCTCCTGACCAGTAAGAATGATTTTATGAAAGTTGGTGGTACTAAAAGAGCTATGTAAGACCCAAAAGGACATGGATTGAAGTAGTGGGCAAGACTTGAAAACTCAGATTTTATGCTGGACATGATCCTTGATAAAATAGGGCTGCAACAGGATCATGTACTGCACCTCAAATAGTTGGAAAAAGGCTTTAAAGAGTTGAGTTAAATGCATTGAATCAAGAATATTTTCTGTGCAATATGCAATGTACCCCACATATTTTCACTTCCATAGTCATAGATAATTCATATATTAAGATTTTTCTATGTTCTTTCCCAATAAAAGCTACTTTTGGGTCCATTATTTACTTTATTGACTTGTTTACAAAACAATAATGCAATGTAGGACTGCATCTTGCAGATTTCCTCAAGGTTGAAGTTGAAAAGGGACTTGACAGCACTGATTTAACTCGAAGTTTCTGACCATGATCACGGTAAATTTTAGATACCCTGGATTACTTGCATCAAAACTACAAGAGAAGGCCAGAAAGCAGGAAGATAGATGTTAATCGATATGCATGGCTAGTGGTTGCAACTTTAAGAACCAGTCTCTGGAGTGAGAAAAGAAAGAAAAAAACAAAAATGGTTTTCTAAATTTCATAAGATAAATTGGCAGATCATATAGAGAATAAAAGTGGGAACAGGTTAACCTATCACTCTTATCAGGTAGATCCTTTCTCCCCAGTATGTCTGACAGATAGGAACTGTACCTTGGATTAGGATTTCCTTTCACCACTTTCTGTCCATATTTGCGCCAGCGATACCCATCATCCAGTATATCTACCTCACTCAAAGTTTGCACTACCACACGTGGTTCCCGGATTGGTTTACCCATTGGAGTAACATCTACACAATCAATTTCCTTCTTCCTGCAAGAAATATTTTGTTGGTTCAATGATGGGTAGAATATGGATCGTAGTCTTATAAGAAAACTCAAAAAGCCTCTACATTGAACTAAAGGCACCTGCGCTTTGACTCTGGATCCTCATCATCATTAACATCATCTCCAATTCTATTAGAATATCCAACCACACCTTCTATATCATCATCACTTGCTGTAACAGGAGACAGCTCAGGAGTACCATTTGGCTCAATATGATGAGTTGTCTGGCCATGCACATTGGACAGCTTGTCTTCAATCGTGACCATGTAAATAAAGGTAAACTATCAAACACTTGATTAATAAAAAGTATCAGAATTTCAAATTATCAGTAAAGATTTTGGGTTACCTTCCAAATTGGTTAAGGAAGAAAACCTATCAGATTTTTCTTCTTGGATGGACAAAATTGTACCAGCTGCTAACCGACGGCTAGGTTGAGGCTTAGGATGATCATGGCTACCTTTGTATATAATCTCCGTAATTTGCCCATCATGAGAGCGTTCCAATTGCTTTTTTACTTGGCAATTAGGATGTGTGCATTTGTAATAACTTCGTGGATATTCGCTTCCTTTCACATGTTTCTGCCCATATTTTCGCCAGTTATACCCATCATCTGCAGTTTTCTCAGCTACAATAGAAGGATTACTTCCTTTCTGATCAGATTGTGATGGCTGGAACCCACTATTAGAACCTTGTCTCTGCTGCAATTCATCAGAAGAAATTTCAGGAGGTACACCATCCCCTGGAGTAACCAACTGTACTGGAGGGTCCGGTGCAGTTACAGATAGTGTCAATTCATGGGAGGAAGCTGCACTATTTTCACTTTTAGCTGAGGATGAGACTGCAAATGAGTGAGACTGGTATTGACCTTGGAGTTGCACAAGTGGATCAGGCTGCTTATAGTTCAAACCTGTGGAAGCCTTTAAAGCAAAAACAGAGTTAGGCATACACAAGAACATGCAGAAATTTAAATAAAGAAGAAGAAGCTTCTGGGGGACCAAAAGAAAAAATATTAAATTCAATAGGAAAGCTATATTATTTCCACCCAATTGCATCCTTGAGCATTTAACTGTAAATAACTTTACAGTGAAAGTAAAATTACCAACTTTTGCTAAGTCACTGTGGCTCAAATAATCACATTTTTCATCAGCAATCACAATTTATCAATGACGAAGGGGACAGAAAACAAAGATAACGAACAAAACCGTTGAAGGGCAATGCCTAAAACTGACCCCACTAAGGCCAGAATGAAAGGAGAGTACACCATCTGGTCATACCCAAAAGGCTAGCCCAGTAGAGTTGGGCCCAGAAACAGCTCACTCCTCCAGACATTCCCTGACATCTCTTCATGTTTCTACTTTCACATATTGATTCCACTTAGCTTTATCAATTAGAACTATATTATTGTTAGGGACATATAAAGTAGAATATCATTATTAAATTCAATAGTCTATTCATCCAAAACCAAGGGAAAAAAAATGACAAGTAATCAAACGATTTTATTAAAAAAAATGGCTCAACATTGCCCCTGGTGTAGACCTACAGTGATGAATCATCATTTACCTCAACATTTCACACTTTTAGGCTATCTCCCATATATCATGTCAAAATATCTACTTGAGTCATGCATCTCTCTCAAAATCATATTAGTTTTTCTTTTATGGATCTTATGTTTGATTTGAATATGTTATCTTAGATAAATTTGTGGATGGGTAAAGTAGTTAAGCCCCAACCATTATCTGGATTTAGGTTTCTGAGCTCTTTTTGTCAATTACATAAGAAACTTGCGCAACTAAAATTGGTTACCCAGTTTCAGCATTTTAATTCTTTAGGCCCAAGGAGTAAGTAACCAAGTCATCCAAAACCAATGGAAAAAATGGACCAGATTATGCTGCAAACCTGTAACCACCTCTCCCATAAGGTCCCTAAATGCATCTTCAATGCCCAATGCCCCTGGGCTTCCAAGAGAGAGCCACCAATGTTGAACTTTTCTCAACCTCAAAGCTGGGACCGATTCCCTTTATACTAATTGCCTTGACAGAACAAATGATGGCACTGCAGGCAATGATGTCTGATTTTTTTTATTAGCAGCATATAACTTTTATTAGTCATTACAAACTAATGGGCAGATGATAAGAAACAGTATAATAGAACCCAGAAATTATATTACCTGGATTCAGCAAAGACAGCTGGAGCTGCTGGACATGGTACTGAATGTGAAGTTTATACTAAAAATTGAAGTATCTGACACAATGCAGCATCCTTGTACAGGTATCCAGTATCATAGCCCAGAAAATTGTCCCAAAACCCATTCTTCATTGAAGATTATCCTAAATTAATCTGTCCAATAAAAAATTATTTTCTAAGGAAAAGAGACTCACCGGTAAAGTTATCTCCTTTTTCATCCATAATCTTACTACACCATTAGCGAAACTGAAATCATTACCCAACTGCCTGACCTATGTGAATGAAATGTTCACCCTGGATGCAAGAGCTTTAGCTTCTCTAATGAAATGCCACATCTACCAAGGTCCCTCCTCCTAGCTTTTTTAACCATCCAATAACCACTGTAGAATCTCCTTCCATTTCCAATCTTTAGATGTCCAATGAACACATTAGTCTTAAACCTTGCTCTAAGGCAAAGATTTTAGCTCCAATCACTGTTCACCTGCCAGGCCTGAACATACATCAAGTCTCTCTCCATTTTAGTTCTTAAAGACACCCTCAACTCCTGAATTCCCTAAATTTCCCAAGTAGCAGTCATCGAAATTTAGTTTGATGTCTTCCATGGGAATGAAGGGACCAAATCTCCACACAATCCTGTCTTCTAGTGGAGTAATACCTAGAGACCCCATTCCATCCTATCATAAATCATAACATCATCCATCAAAAAATCTGCAAGTTCTTCTCTTGTAAGAAGCCAATGTGCCACAGTTGACTACATTCAATAGTTGATCCTCACATAGCTTCAGCAACATCTTGACACCCATTATCAAGTGCTTCATCTGGTCTACTCAATTTCACATAAGATGAAGAAAATACCATCTGCTGTAGACAGTACCTACAATCTACCTTAATAAGAAGTTGAAGCAAATCCAAAGAGTAAATTTTCATGGGCAATGATGAAGTTCAAAACTAGTATACTGTGTTGCCAATTTATGTGCAACTTACCACTACAACAAAGTATCAAATGCTTGAAATATTGTCCCAATTTAATTAGGTAAGTGTACTACAATCCCAGGATGGTAATGTTTATCTATGTATTATATTAGTTTGACCCTCCTTGTTGAGTAGGATTTTAGGTCAGATCCTGCGTTTACAGGGTAGGCTAAGAAGAAGCCTATAATTTACAGGCCTATAATTGCCTATTTCAGAAGAAGCCAAAAAATGTGTGGAATAATTTTCCAATATAAGAGGTAGAATTTAATGCTGTGGTCTAATCATCGAAACATTTGTGGAACATTTTTTACCACAAAGCCTTGGAGTATTTGAACTTGCAAAAGAATAAATTCCCAGGATTTGCAAAATGGAGTTCTTTTGTCCAATTTTTTCTTTGATCTGAAAGTATGAATCTGAATTCACAGAAGAATCAGAGCTGAAATTTTACAAAAATGGAGTGCTTCCATTCCACAAGGCGGAAGATGGAGTGCAAGAAAATTAAGGACATAATACCATCACTGTGGAAGACAGATTTCATCCATCCAGCCTTAAATAATTTCAACAATGTTGTAGAAAAGCATTCTTTGTCAAACCAATAAAGAAAATGAAATAAACAAATTTGCATTGATCATTCTTCATAAATTTCCTCGATCAGGGCATAAAGCACCTGCAGTGGATTTAACGATACACCCTCGCATATCCTGTGTATAAAACACCCTATCTGCATTAAGAACAGGAAGGGAAAAACCTTTGCCTTGCTAATTGGACAAGAGAACGAATTCCCTTTATCAGTCTAAACTTTATTTGAATGGCTCAAGCACGAATTTCTTTTTTTATTTTCCAAGATGTAGCAAAATTTTGAACCCTTTTATGAGGGCAAGGATTTTGCTTGGTTAGCCCCAAACTAGCAGATTTTATCTCCACCTTCAATACTTGTGGACACCCTGGATCTAGATTACCAAGAAAAGAGTTAGATCGCTGCTTTCAACATTAAATTTTATGAATTTGTTTTGGCATGGGGCACATTAAAACCTAGTATCCGTTCTACCTTCAGTGAACCATCATGTTTATATACTAATTCTTGCTACTTTGCCGTATCATGTTGAAGAACAACTGGAGCATTCATACAAGAAGTTCAGATTTCCACTACATCCAACTAAGTGTATAAACAGTAGTCGAATAGGACTGCAATCAGTCCTAGGTTCAATGTGAAATAAACAAAGGAAAGATTGAGAAGAGAGAAGAAGACGAAGAGAAGAGAAGAAGAACTCAAAGAGGAGAATTCAGAAAAGAGAGTTGACCAACTGTCACCCCACTCTACAATTTATATTAATACTCAAATAAAAGTAAAAGGGCTGAATTACCCTTACTGCTTACATGGCAAAATAATAAAAGAACTAATAACTATAAACTGAAATAAACTACCAGCTGAAACAACTAACTGAAATAACTAACTGCTAACTACAATCACACGAACACAGTGGGGACCACATCACTGTTCTCTACACTCCCCCTCAAGTTGGGAATAGATGTTTGTCATTCCCAACTTGCATAGATCTGCTTCTAACTTCTTCTTTGAAACAGCCTTGGTGAGAAGATCTGCAAGCTGCATGTTGAAGGTGATATATGAAAGACACACTTCTTGAGAAGCAACCCTTTCTCTAATAAAGTGTCGGTTTACTTCAATATACTTAGTTCTGTCATGTTGTACCGGATTATGGGCTATATTAATAGCAACCTGATTATCACAGTACAGTGTTAGGGGTTTCTCATAAGCAATACCCAACTCCTCAAATAGTGATTTCAACCATAGTATTTCAGCCACACCATTTTCCATGGACCTATATTCAGCTTCATCACTGGAGCGAGCAACAACATTTTGTTTCTTACTCCTCTGAGAGACAAGATTACCTCCTACAAAAGCACAATATCCAGAGGTAGACCTTCTATCATCAACACACCCAGCCCAATCAGCATTTGTGTAAACTTCTATTTTCATGTGACCATCATCCTTGAATAGTACACCTCTGCCTAGACACCTCTTCAAATATGCCAATATCCTCTCAACTGCAAGTAGGTGAGTAGTTCTAGGAGAGCGCATGTATTGACTAACAATACTGACTGCATAATTGATGTCCAGTCGTGTGAGACAAAGATAGAGAAGTTTTCCAACTAAGGTTGGAACATAGCTTTAGCTTCAAGGGGTTCTCCACCTTCTGCATTGATCTTGTGATTTTGTTCAATAGGTGTGTCAGCAGGTTTAACACCCAGCTTCCCTATTTCTTCCAACAAATCAAGAACATACTTTCTTTGGGAAACAAAAATCTCATGTTTAAACCAAACTACCTCAATACCCAAGAATTATCATAGCTCTCCTAGGTCTTTTACCTCAAATTCTTGATGAAGGAGTTTCTTAAGAGACTTAATCTCACGGATATCACTCTGTGCCACTACAATATCATCCACATATACAGCAAACAATGTTAAGGAAGAGTCCACTTTCTTAATAAACAAAGTGTGATCTGATTGGGCTTGCACATAGCCAAACTTCTCAAGAGCTTGTCTAAATCTATCAAACCAGGCTCTAGGAAACTGTTTTAGTCCATATAGAGATTTATTCAGCCAACAAAACTTTTTTCCTGTTTCTGCACTATAAAATCCAGGAGGCAACTGCATGTAAACTTCTTCTTGCAAGTCTCCATTGAGGAAGGCATTTTTAACATCCATCTGAAACAAAGGTCATGAGAACCTAGCTGCAAGAGATAATAAAACTCTGATAGTGGTCATCTTCGCTACTGGTGCAAAAGTTTCCAAGTAGTCTATGCCATATGTCTGAGTAAATCCCTTTGCAATTAATCTGGCCTTGCACCTTTCAATGGAACCATTAGACTTAAGCGGGCGCCTACATACATATATAAAACTATTTTTTTTATTTATTGTTTTGATATTTTATTGATTGTTGTATTCTTTTAAAATAAATCTACTACATGGTATCATTTTATAAGACAAGTAATATAATCTCCATTTCTTCGTTCAATTGGAGAGGAAGGAGAACCGAACACTTCAAAGCTCAAGCCCCAGCCCAACACATTGCACCTCAGCTCCGGCAGCAACAAGTAAGTTTTTCTTCTTCTTCTTCTTCCAGATTTCAGACATTTTTTCCTTTTTTTTCGAAAAAACTGTCCACCAGTCCTCCTTTTCTCTTCTCCAAATTTCATTCGAAAAAACAGGGGCTCCGCCCCTATACTCCTCAGTCCTCCCTTTCCCCACTCATCATCATCATCTCCTCAGTCCTCCCTTTTCCAAATTTCCATCACCTAGGCGCCTGGGCGCCCCATAGTCGCCTAGTCGCCTTGACAACTATGCTTTAGGTTGATCAACTAGCTCCTAGGTATTGTTCTTCAGAAAGGCATCCATTTCTACCTTCATTGCATCCTTCCACTCAAGTACTGACAAGGCTTCCTACAATGTTCTGAGAATGGGAATATCATCAATGGATGCAAGAAAAGACTTGTAAGAAGGAGACAGATGATCATAAGACAGGAACCGGGAAATACAATGGATTGTAGATGAGGTGCAATGGTGTTTGCCTTTATAGACAGCAATGGGGAGGTCAAGGTCATCCAATGGAGGTGAAGGCTCAACAAAAAGGGGTGAAGGCTCAACAATGGAAGGTATCTCATCTGTAATGGAAGATAAAGGAATTGTGGTACCTGGATCTGAATCCGTAGAAGGAATTGGGGCTGGCCTGAACTATTGATGACCGAAATCAACCTGCCTCCACCGTTTGTGATAAACTCTCAAGTCCTGGCACCTCTGATAACCCTCCCTATTACACCCCTCTTCACTGATTGGGACAGGTAATGGAACTTCTAATGAGTGAACCCCAACCTCACTACTCTCCCCCTGAGAAGAAACCCTAGGATAATAAGGTACATCCTCAAAGAAAGTGGCATCTATAGAGACAAACCTCCTCCCAAAAGTAGGTTCATAGCAACAATATCCCTTTTGAGTTTGTGCATAAACAAGGAAAATACATTTTGAGGCTTTAGGATCAAATTTGGGACAAGGGCCAAGAGTCTGAACAAAGCAAGTACAACCAAAGGTTTTAAGGGGAATAGTGAACAACTCTTTATCAGGATATAAAAGAGTGAATGGAGCTTTCATGTCAAGAACCTATGAAGGAATTTAGTTGATGAGATATACAATTGTATGAATGGCATCTCCCCATAAACGTATAGGCACATTGGAGTTAAACATAATGCTTCTAGCCACCTCCAATATGTGTCTATTCTTTCTCTCAACAACCCCATTCTACTGAGGTGTATGAGGACAGATACTCTAATAGATAATCCCATGGTCAAGGAAATATGAGGCTAATGGTTTTGTGAAGTACTCTTTCACATTATTGGATCTGAAAATTTTGATTTTGGCCCCAAACTGGGTTAAAATCATCTGGTGAAAGATTCGAGTCAAGGTAGGAACCTCATCTCGAGAACGCATAAGATAAACCCAAGAAAAGCGGGTATGGTCATCAACAAACAATAAGAAATATCTGCCCCCCCCCCCCCCGTAGCAATAATGTGATAAGGTCTCCAAACATCGGTATGCACAATTTCAAAAGGAATACTACTTCTTTTATTACTCAATGAATAGGTTGTTCTACAATGCTTTGCAAGCTCACAACTTTCACATGGGCAGACTCAAACAAACTTTTCAAAGACTTAAAAGACAAATGACCTAATCGGTTATGCCAAAGCATAACCTAACTAACAGATTGAGAAACAAAAGACCTCCTAACTTCACTATCTTCCCAATGTGAGCTCCCTCCAAACAGATAGATTTCATTCGTCTCGCGGCCAATCCCAATCACCTTCCTTGTCTCCAAAACCTAAAAAACACATCGATCAGGGGAAAAAGTTACTAAACAATTCTAGGTTTTAGTAATGCTACTAACTGAAAGCAAATAAGTACTAAGCTTAGGAACATGCAAAACTGAAGTTAAAGAAATAACATTAGACAACTTGATATCTCCCTTGCCAGAAATGGGAACAAGAGAGCTATTAGCAAATAGTGAGGAGAAGCCAATCATATGATCAGATGCACCTGAGTTTATCACCCAATAGTGTTCAGTGTTACCTGGGGCTAAAGCATGATAAGCTGAGGCCAATGTACCTAAATGAGCAAAAGTTGAACTAGATGGAGTTGATGTTGTGACTGACGGCTAAGATGATGGTGTCGAATTTACCAACTTCACTCTCCAACTGAGTTAGAGCAGCCCGGACAACAGCTAAGGTGTCTAGGGATGTGGCTCTTGTGCCCAATGAGGTAGCACAATCAGTAGTAACTGCCACATTGGCATTTCCCCTTTTGTTTTTGAGTTTTGCTGGAACTAGATGGGGATGTAACTTCCAACAGGTGTCTTTAGTATGCTTAGGTTTCTTGCAATGTTCACATACTAGGTCCCTCTTGTCTTCCTTCTTCACATCCCTCTCCTTTATCACCCCCAAACTTAGGTTTAACTGTTGCCAATGTTGATTCAAAAGGTTGATGCTGCAACATAACCTTTCTCCTACCCTCTTCATTGTGCACTAAGGAGTAGGCTTGTGATAGGGTCACATTGTCTCTCATGAGTAGTTGTTGTCTCACAATATCATATTCAAAATTCGGACCAGCTAGGAACTTAAGCACCCTATTAGTTTCAACTTGCTTTTTGTAAGTTTGTGCATCCTTCTGACTTTCCCACTCATTTGTTTCTAGGTGGTCAATTTCATGCCATAAGGATTTCAAGGTTGAGAAGTAAACCGAGACTGGTTTCTCTCCTTGCTTAAGATTATTAACCTCACATTTCAGCTCATAAGCCCTATCAACATTAAAGAGTTGGGTGTGGATCTCTTTCATGATGTCCCAAATTTCCTTAGCTGTTTTGCCCACAAGTAGTTTCGGCTGATATGTGGTTGCATGGAGTTGCACAGCCATGTCATAACCAAATAGTTCTCCTGAACCCATTTGGCATAAGTTTGGTTCTCCTTAATTGGTTATTTCACATCCCCCAACAAATAATTCAGTTTTCCTCTACCCCCAATGGCCATCATGGCATATTGAGCCCATTCTAAGTAATTTGATCCGTCAAACTTGACAGTTGTAATCTGAAAGGTGTTCTCAGACATGTTACCAGAACCACCAACCCCCAAAACACCTTCCCCTTGATTCTTAAACCCCATTCTTGTTAAGATATTAATCAAAAAAGCACCCTTTTCAGCACTGAGATAAGTGAAACTGCACCCAGAAATTGTTAACAGCCGACCTAGGAGGGTGAATTAGGTTCGGAAACTAACCAAAAATAATAAAACAGTTCTACTAGATCTCTAGAGAACCAAAAACACTCAGTCTGGAATGGAAACAGGTCCAACTACTACCCCAAAATTAGCAACAGTCTTGAGTTTTAGGGTTTTCTCTTAAAACCCTAAAAAACTCAGGAGAAGAGAGGAGATTTCCCAACTGCACCTCTCAGAATAAACAAAAGGAACCTTTTTTAGATCGGTCTCAAGGAAATCAACTTACTTCAGGAAAAAACTCTGGCCGCCACCTTCCAACTGATGTCTGAACCCTAATCTTGAGGATTCTAACCTTCTTCCAATTCTTCCTGATTGTTGGATCTCTCCCAAGGCTCTACAGTCCCTTGAGTAGCAGCCGCACACTACCAGTAACCTCCAAGAATCAGCTGATGACCTTCTTTCTGCTAGAACTTCCAACCCTAGGAAGTTCTCATGTAGTCGGCCTGATTAGACTAGCATAAGAACTCCTAGGTTGGCTCTGATACCAAGTAGTCGAATAGGACTGCAATCAGTCCTAGGTTCAATGTGAAATAAACAAAGGAAAGATTGAGAAGAGAGAAGAAGACAAAGAGAAGAGAAGAGGAGAAGAAGAACTCAAAGAGGAGAATTCAGAAAAGAGAGAGAGTTGACCAACTGTCACCCCACTCTACAATTTATATTAATACTCAAATAAAAGTAAAAGGGCTGAATTATCCTTACTGCTTACATGGCAAAACAATAAAAGAACTAATAACTATAAACTGAAATAAACTACCAACTAAAACAACTAACTGAAATAACTAACTGCTAACTACAATCACACGAACACAGTGGGGACCACATCACTGTTCTCTACATAAACTGAAGCTAGTCACACTAAATGCTAATAGTAGCTTTTAACTTCAAAACTATATGCTAAGGAACCAAATAATAAGCCAAATAGAAAGTTACCGAATTTCCAAACGAGGATGGACCTGAAGATGGGATTGACTTAATGCTGGGTTTAAATTCAAAGTCACTAGAACCTTTCTCATCATAAGCATTTTTGGGTGCATCTGTTGCTGAAGAGAATTTGGCAGAACCATCACGGTCATGCATGATTTGAAGCTTGGAGAAGGTACCGGTAGTTGGAGAGGGCTCCACCTGCAAAACCAGGAGGTAATCTCGCAAAAGTTAAGACTGAGAAGATTGTTTTTTTTCCTAATCACCTGACTCCTGATAAGAGGAGGCAATAATGGTTTTCTTGGGAAGCAACCAAGAAATTTACAACCAGTATCAGGATACTCAGTGAACCATTAGTAATGATTGCTCAATTTTTTTCGACAGAATGACTGCTCAAAATTTTCATTAAGCATTCTTCAATTGGAAAAAGAGAGAGAACATAATACATGTAATAAAACTTTCAGTATTTTTTCCAGCTGACAACAAGAAAAATAAGTTTAAAACCAGACCAAAAATCTAGAACCGAGTTGCCATCCAAGATAAGCCATAAAAGGCAGAGCTAAAGTCTAAACGGAACCCAACAGAATATTTCTGTCATGGAGTCCTGAAAGATCGCAAAGAAATTATCTATTCAATCAATTCGTCAATCTTTTTAAACATCACTAAAATCTGTTACCAATATACCTTACTGTTCCGATTGCAAAAACCAAATTTCACATGTTTAATACCAGACTTGGCAAAGAAAAATAGGAAAGCCAAACATCACAACAAAGAAGACGCATTCTGTGAAAAACCTACTAGAAACAAAAGAAGTTTGAAGATTTAAGAGAAAGGCATATTCTCAATAGAAGTCAATACCGAAGGCAGATATTTTAAAATATCAGACCACACTATACCCGCATAAAGGAGCCAAAATAGAATAGCGTAAAGTGAGTATTAGAATCTAGCTAACGGCCTCAGCTAAAATCACTGAACTTTTGTATTCACACAAACCCCAAAAAAAATTATAAATGTAAAATCAAGTCTTCTAACATACAACCACGAGAAGGAAAAGGAGCAAATTTTATGAAACAACAATGCTAAAAGGAGAAGATTCGACACAATTATCACTTAAAAGCTTATAAATCCTTATTATATGGTAGCGAAAAGGAAGACTAATTTGTGTGTGTGTGGGGAGAGATAAAGATAGAGATAAAAGAGTGATAACTCGAAATTCATCAATTACGTCACAAAAGCTGCAAGGCTCCGACTAATTGAAACCTTAGAAGTTAATGTTAAGAAATCTCAGCAAAAAACCCTAACCTTGATGTTGGAGAGAAGAACCGGAGAATCAAGCAAGGTTGTAGGGCTCAAACCAGGAGGGATCGTTAAACACGGCGACCGCGTGATCGGAAGTCTGGCAGGCGACATCAATTTATACTTGGCAGCGTTCGATCCGGCACAAGACACTATCCTGGAGTCTGGCTTAACAGAAAAATCGTTCATTTTCGGGTATTCGGCGCTAAAAATGTTGTCAGAGCCAGAAATCAAACCGTTCGGGCCATTAGATCCCTCTAATCGAAGCTCAGAACGTCTGGTTTCTTGTTCATGAACTCTTAGTTGAGAATCTCCGAGGTCATAATTAACATTTTCCTCCATTGCAGTCTACAGAGAAAGGAAGGGAAGCAGATACGAGAGAGAGAGAGAGAGAGAGAGAGAGGCCTGTGTTGTTTCAGTTTAAAGGGGTAGTTTGGGTAATTGGATGTCTGATAGAGTGCTTGGGGAGCTTGTCAGATACTCAGAGCCGGACGTGGTTGACTTGCTTGCTTTTAATTAAGGATCGGAGGCGCATTTGACGGAATTGGCCTCAGAGCGTTGTATGAGTTTGAAATTACAAAGATACCCTCATGGTCGGTGGATTTAACAGATCGTACCGTCCGTCGTATTTTTGATAGAGCCGCGGCATGACAGTGGCGAGTGCCAACCACGGATTCGGCCTTGGCCCGCCGTGGGGCATCCACGGCACCGCATCAATTCTCTGTAAAACAACCTAGTTGGGAGTTGGGACCTTTGTTGTACGATTGATTGCATTTACAAACATACCTCTGAATTCGAAAATTTCACTCTCACCTGTGAGCTGAGCTGCCTCACTCAAGTTGCCCATCATGATCAAGCCAAGGACTCTAAAGACTTAAATTGCTTCTGTCTTCTAGTGAATAAATTAAACAAGTAAAACTATTCAAATTATAATCATCTGATTTATCGAACCTCAGCTTATAATCCAAGTACCCGTACCCGTTTGGGAGAGTTGATGGGCAGCAGCTTCTGCCTTCCGATGTGAACCCCACAAGCTACAAAGATAGCCTATAAGGTATAAGCAATGTTGGTGAGAAATCTAAAGAATCCTTTCCGCCGTCGATCAATCATTTGAAAGGATGTCCGCTTATCAAAGCACTTTTTTAGAACAGCTGAATCTGCTTCATTACTAGAAAGTTCAAAGCAATAAACATTTTCAGTTCAGCCACCTCGATTGCTTTCAAATGGCCCCTTAAATTTTTAGAGTTTGGCTCATCTCTCCGAATAAATTCAGTAGTAAATTGAATAATATCGTCCTTTGATAATCCCAAATAACCAAATAATATAGTATAATAAATGTTTATAATATTATATTACACAAAATTATATATTGTATAATATGATTCTTCGGAATATAAAAATATAATACTTACATGATATAAAATATAATAATATAGTACATATTATATATTATACATTAAATAATATATTGTTTAATTGCTGAACAACGTTATACCCACTGGTTAAACATATATATATATATATATATATATATATATATATATATATATATATAGCTTGTTATAATGCAATAAATTGATTTTTAAGAAGAAAAAATAGAGAAAAATTAGCAAAAGATTATGAGCGATTTAGGTACGTGCGTACCTTTTCTCTGTTTCTTTTAACTGAATTTGGGGACATCACCTGAAAACATAAATAACAACTTTCTCTCAACTTCTCTGTCACTTTTATTTTCGATCAAACCAAACACAGCCTGAAAGCGACTTAGGTTATCATAGGTTCCATGGGTACCCAGGCATTTCAAAATGATTTCATGGATATTCAAATCTTATCTTTAGTTTGGATTGTTGTAGGCTGCTTTCTAGCTTGTTCTCAGCCATAATTGTGTTCATTAATTTTAAGGGATTGAGTAATTAATGAGGTAACCCAACTTATGTAGTTGTTAGGGTTTTGATTTTCTTGGTTAGTTGAGGCTACCAGGAACCTGGCCACGGGATTACTGAATGCTTACTATTGTTTATGTTCTATTTAATTTGTTTTCTTAATGCAGTATCATATGCTTACGAAAAGAATTAATATTTGGTAACTTGTAGTAGTTGAAGAAGGTTTTAAAATGATTCGATCTGCTACAAACGAGATCAGTAAGGTGCATGCATGGTTACTTCTGATTGAGTGTTATCAGCCCATGTCACAGTATTGTTTCTTTCAAATTGGACATCAACTAAGAAAAGGCTGAGTTTGTGGTGGATTGGATGATTTAAGTCATTCAACCAGGTAGTTTGCCTCCTAAAATAATCAAATCCATAAAAACAAATGTAGGGCTAATCAATTGTCCTGGTCATTAGTTCAAATATTCATCAGGTTTGAAATGCGGGTTCAACTATATATGATTCAGGAAAAAACATGACACCTGAAAATAAAATTTATAATCAACCAGCGTCATAAAAGTGGTAATCAATCGGTTCATAAATTTAGTATATGTTTGGCATCGATGCTACATATACAGTACAATTTTCTCAAAAAATAGTATTGCTAATGTGTGGGTTAGAAGCACAATTTTTTGAGAAAATTGTGTCTTTTTTTGTTTGGAAACGTTGCCAAATAGGACATTTCTTAGAGCAACAGTAACATTTTCTGTTTGGTACCAATGGCATAGGAAACGTTTTCATCACTGGTACCTATTATCTAGTGCTATGGCACATCCCTATCACTGCTACCTCATGCCCCTGTTGGCAGCAACGAGCTGCAGCTCTAAGAAATGCTAAATTCGACGTTGTTTCAAACCACACCTTCCCAATTTCTAAAATGTGACTTAGAACACATTTTTTATAGAAAAACAGTTCTAAACAAACAAGCGTTTCCTGAAGCACCGTTCCTTACAATATAACACTGATGTATCACCGTTCTCTGGAACAACGACATCAATGCCAAACAGACGCTTAAAAGCACTCTACAACAAACAAACAAATGTTTTTACCCATAACCTACTCTTTTTGAAATCTTTATTTCTAGTTAAATACTAATGAATAGAGCTTTTTGCTTCTTGTTTAGCTTCGAGGGTCAGGTTATATCCCCCTCCCCTTTTGTCCTTTTTTCATGATCATTCAATAAAATTTGTCTTTTTCTTAAAGAAAATATTAATACTCTATTATTTTATAAAATATTCGATTAATGATTCCCATTACACTTATATATTATTTTAATTGAAAAAAATAAAAAATATATATGAAAAGTTGCTGACATACAGTCTGGTGCCTAACCTATTATATATGATTGGCCTTCTTTTTATCACTCTTTTAAATTTTGTAGCATTTTGTCACAAAAGAGGTTTTAAGGCTTCTGGTCAGTGTTGAGTTGCAGCATTTTTTATGGCTGCAGTTTGTTTTAGGTAGACAGTTGTAGTTGCAGGTTATAGCATTTTCTTACAACCCGACAATAAACACCAGCATGATATTCCTTTCTTTGATTTAATATCTAATACGAGTCTGCAACTCCTGGCCCTCCAATGAAACACGGACAGACCAGCAAAGGGAGCTCTGAAGTCTGAACATAATGTGTCCTTGGTTCATGTAATGTACTCTCCTTTTGTTTTAGTTCCTTGTAATCTCCTTTTGGTTCTCGCTTGGTTGAGGGTGGGGAGTAGCAAGATATTGCTGCAACCGTGGTCGCAACATCGCAACAGATGTAATCCAGGGTCATCAAATCATGACTTGTCTCTTTTAGTGGAGACAAAATGATGTTTATTTAATCTTTTAATCTCATTTTGTAAAACATAAATTTCTTTATTTATTATTCTAGAGTTTTAAGGGAGGGAGGGAATCTAGTCTCCGGGGACAGTTGGCTCCAATCAATCGGTGGCATATCATGGCTGGCCCAGCCTCTAAATTCCTCATGTAGATGATTAGAAATTGAAACATGAAAGGGAGTACCTACGTATCATTTTTTAAGGGGAGGGGGAGACTCATCTACAGCGCAACTCAGACCAATCTCACAACGGTTTCAGTCGTATTAAGAATATCTCCTATGTTTGATTAATTGGGAGCACTAATGGATTGGTTTTGGGTTAGATCCCGTCTAAATCAAAATTAATTTAGACAGATTTAACGGACCAATAAAACATATTGAATTAGATGGGTCTAAACTTGATAATCTAAAGCATCAATTTCATTGGATTGGACGTTATTCATCTAAAATGGATTTATATTGGATTGGGTCAGATTAAATCAATATCAGTCCATTGATAAAAAATAAGATAATTTGATTTTATCATTTATGATAAATGTTTTCAATGCAAGGCTACAATGTGCTGTGAGATTGCTGTAAAGTGCACCTGTGAAAGGACTAAATCTGATTTCTATTAAAACATGAAACCAATTTATTTAATTAATCATACAATTTATATTACTGTCTGAAAACGTTCAGGGAACCACCTAAACCAAATGGAAAATAATTTAAGGACATGGGCCTATCATAGGCCACCTATGAATGCTTATTTCCGAAGAACCTCTAGCATTTTATATCAAGTTTTTAAAAGAAAATAATGTTTATAAATAGGGGCTGCAAACGGATTGATCGGTATCTGATCTAACCTGAGAAGAAATTCAACTGATCCGAATCCAATAAGAATCTCTCAAATTTTTTAAGAGGAAGATTCGAAATTGAAATCAAATACCTTATTATATTTTTCAAGATTTGTAATAAAAAGCATGATGATATAATATAAATAATAAATTATATTATTCATATATATTAATAATATATTATAATATATAATATTTCATAAATAAGCGTATTGGATTGGATTCGGGTATATCCAAATTCAATTCATTAACCAAACAAATCAACTTTTCCGATCGATCTGATCCAATTTCTTATGATCAAGAAAAATTTCTAAATCCGGATCTTTCCTGATTGAATTCGGATTCAAATAGTATCAGATCCGATTTCTTTGAAGCCTTATTTACAAAGAAATTAAAAGAGAGAACAATGTGTCTAGGTTCTTTGATTGTAATATGCAAGGTATCTTCATTCTTTAAACAAAACGCATTTTACTAGAGGCAAGACTGATACATATTTCTACTTTTATTTTGATTAAATTTGTTCCAATCAACAGCAGGATCAAAACCGCCATTTCTTTTTTTGACATATAAAGACCCCATGTATTATGGAGTTAGTGACAAAGACCTCCTGTACTTTTTTTGCGACAAACATCTTCTAAACTTTGGCCATTACACAAAAACCCTCTCCCTTAACATTCCGTCCATTAACTTTTAAAAATATTCTCATTTGAACATTTAAAAATTTTTAAATGCCCAAACTATCATTCTCTAATTTATTTTGTCAGGTGTATCCAACACGGCTGAGAGATACTTTTGGTGAGTAAGTAGGTTGGCACTGTTCCAAGTGGTGGTAATGGAGATGAGATACTTTTGGTGAGTAAGTAGGTAGGCACCATTCCAGGTGGTGGTAATGGAGCTGGTGTGTTGTCCTGCCAAGAGGGCAGTAATGAGTAGCGATGAGGGCAGATTTGTC